TGCTGCAGCCAGGCTGCGACGGCAACGAGACCTGGATAATTGCTTCCTGCATCTGCCTAAAGTGCCAGAAGTAATTAGGCTTGGCATGCGCAGAGCACAGATAAAGACAGGCGAGCCGAGCAGAGTGGTGAACGAGAGCCTGGCGTGATGACTGGCTGCACCCTGGCAGAGGTGCTGAGGCCCCGGTGGCCCTGGCGCGGCTCCCCTGCTCCCTCGCCCGAGGCGTCAGCACGCACGGTCCTCTGCTTATGCTCCAAGATGCCCTTGGGCTCAAGGAACTAATGCTGCTCCGAGGCATGGCTTCTTTCCAAGAGCGCCCAGGCCTGGCATTACAAGTCTTCAGGAAGAAGAGCCCCACAGCCCGAGGGAGGAGAGGGCAGGCCCCTGGGAGGCCGCTCGGGGGGTGCCGCTCCTAGTCCGGCCCTTGCTGTCTTCAGCAGCAGCTGAGGCAGGCTTTGGCCCAGGATCCCAAAGCTGAGACCCCGCTGTGCTGACGATAGACCGACTCAGCCAAAGGCCTCCCCACCACCGCCCCAAGGATGCAGAAGCATCTGGAGCTGCTAGTGAAAAGAGAAAAACGGCCAGGAAATGCCCACCACCACCCAGCATGGACCCACAGCATGCGCTCTGCGCTGGGGGTGGGGTGTGCGGGGGGGCTGGCCTCAGTGAGCCCCCTTACAGCTTGCATCACCCTTCCCCACCTGGTGCCTTCCAGAAGAATGAGAGTTCAGCTCCCATCAGCCACTGCTAACACGGGCAACGGTCGGAGTTGCAGCCCCAAACACTGGCCAGCAGCCGCTCGTGACGGGATGCAGAGGCCTAACGGAGCATCTTGCACAGCCCTCCGAGGGGCGGTGCCACCGGAGCAGGACCCTTCCCAGCACCACCCCACACGCTTCCCCCAAACGTTGGCACGGAAAAGCGAACGCGCAAAAGCACACGCACCCCCCCCAACACACCCACAAAGACACGGCCACGCACGGACTGTCCTGACGGCACAGGTGAGCCCGCAGGCCCGTGCAGCAGCTGGAGGGGCGAAGCGCCCACCAGAAGTAGCCCGCCAGGATCCGACGCAGACAAGGTGAGGCGAGAACCCTTGCTCTCCCTCTCGGGAGCGCGTGGCAGAGGGCGAATGGCTGGACCGCGGCTCCTGTGGGCAAGCCGAGCGTGGCAGGAGAGGGATCGGGCCAGGAGTCTTTAGCCACGATCCGAAGGACCCTCGGCACACCCGGCTACGTCCCGTGCCCGTGAGCACGTGCCTGCCGGTCCCGTACAAGAACCAGCAGAGCTGCCATCTGTCCAGTTCCGTTGCCAAACCCGCTTCTTGGTTTCATTAAACTCAGCAGAGCTTTTCAGCAGCTCTGGCGCCCAGAAGCAAAGGAAGGTGAACAGACTGGTCCAAAACGGGGGCCACAGGCGGGCCGGCAAATGTGGGCCAGGCGAGACCTCCGTCTGAGCAGGCTGTTCCAGCACAGCGCCGCTCTGCTCCCGGGGAAAGGAGCAACCTGCGCAGCCACGCGCTGGGGACTCCCGGGGCCAGGGGCCACTCCTGTGGGGAGCAGAGCCCTTGACCATGCTGGTCGAAGGGACCAGCAGGCCGTCCCATCTAGTACCCGGCCGCAGAACCTCTCTTCCCCCCTGCAGCCCGCCTGTGCTCTCTCGGGGCGCCCCAAACCAACAGAAGGATGAGCAACACGGGCCCGGACAAGGGAGTCTAGGAAGAGGCTGACACACCAGCTGCCAGGCAATGAAAAGGGCTTGCAGAGAAGGAAACCATGGCCGCGCACAGCGAAACACAGCCTGGGAAGTCGGACGTGGCCTGCTGCTTTGGGCCAGCTAGGCAGCCCGCTGCTGCCAACCCTGACCGGCAGCAGCTGCTCGCCGAGGTGCCTGGCAAGGATCCTGCCCTAGTCCGACCCGGGGATGCTGCAGGAGCCTGAACCTGGAGGCCAAAGCAGCTTCACAGGCCCAGCAAGGGGAGGCCAGGATGGGTCTGGCCCAGGCAGCCAGATACTCCCAGGGGCACGCACCCTCCCTCCTGTGTCCCCAGCACCTCTGACACCCTCGACGGGCCACCAAGGACCCTGCCCGCCGGGAAGACCTTCCCCGCAGCCCTGCTTCAGGCCTCCTTGAAACTTGAAACCGAGGAGTCAGACCCGGACGGGGCCTTTTCAGCAGTGGCCCCAAGGAACTCCTGACTGGGCAAGTTCACCAAGCTCCCCTCAGGCTAAAAGGCTGAATTTTTCCAGATAACATTCAGGGCTTAGAGCTTGGGCAGTTCGTCTGAATTGTAAGGATGAATACTAGCAGCTCTATATTAATTGAGCTATTATTATTTAGAGAACTGCACATTCCACCTTTCTACCCCAGATTGTCTTGGGTTGGCTTAGCAAAAAAGTCTGTACCTGATCAAGGTGAGAAACAGCTTCTATCATCAGCATCATCATCACACTGCACTTATATCCCGCCCCAAGGCAGCTTACATGGCTCCGTTTTAGCCTCACATCAACAACCCTGTGAGGTAGGCCAGGCTGAGAGTCTGTGACTAGCCTGAAATCAACCGACCCGCTTCATGGCTGAGGGGCGACTAGAACCCGGCTCTCCCAGTGCGCCAGAGTCCAGCACTCTCACCACCGTGCCGCACCGGCTCTCAGAGTTTCTAGGAACTAAACGAGTCAGGTTTATTCAGAGCAGCTGATGCGCAGGAACTCTCCGCTTGCGACGAAGCAGGCTGAACTCGCTGTGGCTACAGCGACCTTGCGCAAGCCGCAATTCCTGGGGCTCAAGAAAGCACAGGAAGCGGTGCTTGCTTTGAAGTCGGAACCAAGCATTCCAGTCCTCTCCTCACCAAGGTGAACGAGGCGGAGGGGTGCGCACGGAGCCTTCCTGTGGGTTGTCCAACCTGCCCACAAGCTCCGTCTGCCGCTCTGTGAGCAGGAGACGCCACCTAAGGCCTTCGAGCCGCTTCCGCTCGCCTCACGGCATCCTCACTGCTCCCACGGGATTTACTCTGGAAGGAATCGGCTACAGCGACGCAGCAACGCCGCAAGCCAAGCCACGGTGCCCTCGAGGCAGCCCGTTTCCCCCGGCCCGAGCGGAGCCTCTTTCCCCCACGCACGCACCCGGGGGTCCAGGGAGGGAGAAGGCACCCCCATGAGAAAAAACACACTAGACGTGGCTGCTCGCAGAGCAGGAGAAACGTTTTCTTCAGTACAATGAAACGTGTTTGAGCTTGCAAGGTTTCCATCACTGCCAATGAGAAAAAGGAACGCAAGGACACTAACCAGCTGGTTCGGATCCTGCCCACGACAGAAACGTGGCCCCTGCACCGGCAGACCAGCCTGGGAGAGCAGCGAGAGGATCAGAACGTACGGGGGCTGGGACGGTTCATGGCAGCCTCATCCTTTGAATACGCGGCGGGGCAGGATGCAGGCATGCAGAAGGGCCGGATGTGCCCACATTTACTTCCTTTTATCGGTATTTTATATGCTCCCTTTACAATAAGTCGATGCATTTTGCAACAGAGGAGCAGAAGCCAATTTGAGCCCCGCAGGTAAATATTCTTCAGAATGGAGAAGCAGCCGTACTGCATGGAGCAGCCGGCGAGGGGTGGAAAGGAACGACAAGCATGCTGCCGTCCGACCAGGGATCCTGGAAGACCGTTAAGACCAGGTCTAACCTTCTCTGGCTACACCTCTGCACTGGCCTGACATCCACCCCTACCACCAATTCTCCCCACAACTAGTCCCCAAACCCTCTTCCGCAGGAAAATATGCGAATGCACCGCATGAAGAGGTCTAGTTGGAGGAGACACCGCAAGGCAAGGCTGCAAAACGATCCTCACCTGCTCTCAACACACACGACTCCAACTCGCCAAGGAATGCAGAGGAAATTTTGGGAGGCGGCTGCTCCGCTGGATAAGCTGGCAGTCACGGGCGATGGAGCTCACCAGCCCAGGCAGACTGCCAATCGTGCTGGTTTCCTCACTTGGAAAACGTCCAGGAGTCAAGGGCAAAGGTGGCTCAAACCAGCAATTCCCGGGGCTATAAAGAGGACTGGATAGTTTCAATACGTGATCATCAAGGCAGGTCCGGACACACAGATCTTATATATAGATCACGCTCTCATGCCCAACTTCCTGGAAAGAGGTGCTGGTTTTTTTCTGGAGGCTTAGAAAGAACTTGGCTACTGGAGCCAAAGAATAACTAGAGAAAGAGCCTACCATGGGAAGGACAGATCCCTGTGCTTGTCAAAACCTACCAGCCAGAACTGGGCCTATTTCAGAACTCAGCAAAAAAGACAGTACATGGAGCCCCACATCTGAGTTCAGGCTCCTAAGAACATTGGCCTTTCTGCTGGTGCTAAATATGGTTTGAGTGCAGGTTTCTAGTCCTCAAGCCAAGAAGATGGTCTCACAGTATGTTGTGCCACAAAGGAGTTCTTGGTGGCTTGCAGAGTCATTGCCTCATAGTTAATTTTGCTATTCACCGATGCAAAATGAGTCTGGCTTTGCCAGGGTGCTTAATGCTCGCTCTTTTAAATGAGCTTTGCAGCAAGGCGGCGCATTTGGAGGGCAAAACTTCTGCAGCCCTGCAACTCCCAGCTTCCCTCGCCACTAGGCATGCTAGCTAGGGGTGATGGCATGGCAGGACTAATCGCCTGGAGGAGGGGGCAAGCTGCCACCCCTTTTCACATGCCTGAGCTGGTTTTGTTGGATGAGGAAAGCGCCTGCTACGCCTGTGTACCAGTGGGGTGCCTTGCAAAAGGGGAAAGGCTCTGTCCTCCGTCACCGGGGTCATCAGCCGCAAGGCAGACGCTGCCCTTATGGGAACAGAACCGACCAGAAATCCCACATTCCTGAGCAGATGCAGAGAGGCCTCCCACCAGATCTTCCTTCCTCCACAGCCGCGCAGACTCTCGGGGAGCAATCCCAGCCCAGGGAAGTGGGCATAACCCACACGGAGCACAGGCAGGCCTGCTCGAAAGGAGCCCGCTCTTACCTTCACGAGGAAGTTGCCATCCTCCTGGCTCACCATGACCACCGAATCATGGAGCTTCTCGTCAAAGTGAACGTGGCTGGAGCTGCCTTCCACCGTCTGGGTGGGGGCAAAACGGACAGCCCCCGCCTTGGGCTTGGTGCCTAGAGAAGCAGCAGCAAAGCAAACACGGATTAGCAACCCCAGCCCCATTTCAGGGAGCACCGAGCAGCAGCCGGGACGAGTGCGCGGATTCCGGGGTAACAACTGTGCTGAAGAGATGGGCTGCTCGGAGCTTGGGCTGGGAGCCCCTGAGCGGACCCGGCTGCCGCGAGACACGCAGCTGTCCTCACGCAAGCAGAGGCCGGCCCAGGAGCAGCAGCAGCAGCAGCGGTGAAACTCTCCTGGGCCGGACCACTCCAGGCTGCCTCTGGGGAACGCGCAGCCAAGCCCCTTCGGTACCGAGGTGCGCGCACTCGTGCTCCCTGCCCAGGGAAGGCTGGGCGGCCTCCCTACCGGGCAGCCTCGCTTCGCTAGGCCACGATCCCTTGCAGCCAGCGCTCTGCCTCCAACGGCAGCAGAGAAAGCCGCCGGCGGAGCCTCCCACGCAGCGGCAGTGCGGCCGCCCGCCCCAGCCCGGGGTCCGCCGGATGCATCGTGCCACCCGGCAAGCGTCCCTCCAACAAGCCCTCCAGGGGACGCAGCCTGGCATCTGGAGGCCAGCAGGCTGGGGAAGGCCAGGGAGCAGAGGGCCGGCGGCTCTCTCCCACAGCTGCTCTCACTTCGACACACCCGCAGCTTCCGCACCACACGCCTGCTAAGCTGAAGGCAGGAGCTCCCCCCGTGACCCTGCAGGAGAGAAATGGCTGGAACAAAACCTGGGATGCAGGAGAGGGAGGGGTGGGGCTCAGCTGCAGGCCCCCCTGTCCAGCTGCAGGGCCCCAAGTATTTTGACTCACAAACCAGCTTGGCCCCACTGGCTACTTAAAATGGGCGGATGGGGGTCAGCTGCATCAGCAAAGCACCAAGTTTCTCCTCCAAGACCATTTGGCTGCGCTGTGGAAGGGAAACTGCTATTTTCGAGGCTGCCAGGTCTTTGTTGTTAACAAAGGTACATACTCCCAGAATAAATGGTATCTTTGGAGGGCGTTTTTTAAAGTGGGTGTTTTCCGAGAGTTCCAGTTACAAGACCTTCTGGGTTTTGAAAAGGAGCTTTTTCACCCACGCCTCTGAGCAGGGAGCTGGCAGAATAATTAGAAACGGCGGTTCAAGGATAAACAGCTTACTTCGAAAAGCTGTACGGTGATCCTTATTTCTGGCCTGACTCGGGCAGGTTGTTCTGGGAGGGTCAAAGCTGCGAGACTGGGTGCAAATACCCCTTCCGGCTTGAGGGCCAAGCTCAATTTCAGAGATGCTCGTGGGGCTGCCGTCTAGTGGAGGCTGATGGGCTTGAAGACCTTCCTGCCAGGATTTTGACCTTTCAGAATTGGTGGTGAGGGAATGGCCCAAGGGCTGGGAAACCCCCAAATAATTGGGGTCCCACAAAAGGGGGCAGAACCTTTCAGGAACCCCAGAGAAACCCAGCCCTGCGGTTCTGCGGCCCTGGGGCAGACGCCTTGCCTTTGGACAGAGCTTTTAAAGGCTGTCAGTTATAAGCTACCTGAGCTGGAAAGCAAAGCGGCCAAATGACTCCTGGGGCAAAACTCCCCACGCAAAAACCCTTTTGAGCACACGATGGCAAAAATCAAGAGGCTGATCAAAGGCTATTTTTCAGCACGGCACACCACCGTCTTTCGTGTGAGAGGGGGCCCCTATTCCCCCAGAAACATCAGACCCGGCCCTGTGGGAAAAGCACAAGGGAAGGCGGCTGCTCCTTGGGCTGGTTCCGGGGAGAAACCGGCACCTCCGGGGCGGAGGGCAGCCCTGCTCGACACAAGGGCCGCACAGAGCCTTGCCGCAAGGGGCCGCTTTGCCATGCGTCCTGCTGTCATCAGGCAGCAGCTGCAGTTTGCGCAGCGTGATGCCGGGTCGGGGCCCCGGAGGAGGACGAACGGGCCCCAGGGAGCCTTCGCGGGCCTCTGGGGAGCAGAGGGGCACCAGGTGGCATCGCGCTTCCGGCAAGCCGACTGCAAGGAAGGCCGTTAAGGAGAAGAGCTGTCTCTCTTTGCAGGGTTTTCTGCCATGGAAACAGGTTTATACGATTTTCGGGGATGCTCGAGAAGATAACGCGCATCAACTTGAGGCAGCACGGGGCAGGGAAATCTTGCGACATTTCAAAGATTAAAGCTGCTGCTCAGGGTTGCTCTGTACATAGAATCGGCCCTGCACCTCCCAGCGGGGTCTGCCAGGGACCGGCTGGGAGTCGCGGGGCTCTTTTCTGCCGGAACTTGCGTGGGAATGCGCCCCGACAGGCCTTCCACTTCCCACAGTGGGCAGCCAGATGCGCTGGATGAACTTATGCAAGCGGCACGCCCCGCTGGAGCAGCAGCTGCTAGGGACCGAGCGACGCTGCCCCTCACCAAGGGAGCCTAGCGTGGCTTAGGTGGAAAGGATGGCAAGACCATCGGGTCCAGCCCCCCACTCCCTGCGGGCTTCCAAGTTCAACCCCCCCCCCGCCAGAAAGCTCCTCTCTAAGGTGTCGGGTCCAGACAACCTGTGTTCACATGGGCGTTTCCAGACGTGCAACCGGTCAGGACCCTGCTCCTCTCTTGCAATGGTTTGAAAGGATTTTATAAACTGTTTTCGCCTTATAATGTGATTCCATTAACCTGCTCCAAACTCCGGGGAATCCAGGTGGTACAGAATCAGCCCGGGGCTTCCTGACCCTTTTTGCACATTTTGTGCTTAGGTAGATTTGCATGCTGGAGCCCCCCCCCCGCTCCCCCCCCGGGGAAATATGTGAAGGTGGGATAGAGAGCTCTTAAAGGGCTGCCTCTCTTGCTCCCCCTTGGCTGGGGGCTCCATGGCGCCCCGGCAGCCTCGCGCCACCAGCGGCCGCAGCAACCTCGCCGCCCACACGCCCACCCCGAAAAGGTTCCCACTTCCCTCAACAGCACTGCCCGCAGCCGGGACAGGCCCATTCCCAAGTTCGTTCAAGAAGCAAAGGGGGGCCTTCAGGGCCACTAGTCACCGGGCCCCCGACGGACCCCGGCTGGAGACCAAAGCAAAACAAAGCCAACAAAGCCCGCCAAACTGGGTACAAAGCCACACAAGAGTTTACCGGCCACAGGGGGTGGGGAATGGGGCTTTGCGTGGGCTTCAGCACTGGCGGGGCTGGCCGGAGACCCCACCCGTGCGAAGGGCTCCTCTCGAGCAAAACCTTTACACCGACGGGGTGCTTCTTGGAGCACAAAAGGGGCTTCGCATTCTGCGGCAGTCCCCCTCGTCTCTTCCCTAGCCTTCTTTCCTCTGGCTGTGTTGGACAGCAGCCCCCACCCTCCCCGGACAGCACAAGCATTAACCTCGCTTGCAGGAGGGCGCGCTCCCTCTGCCTTCCTATATGGGCATGAATTTGGGTGCTGGAGTTTGCGAGACTGATCTGCCGGAAAGGCTTGAAGGGCATCCGAATGAGGCTCTGGGTTGCACGGATGAACTCCCCCGAGGCTGAAACTGGGCTGATTTCTGCTCCCCGCAGTACTTAAAGAGATCATTCCCCCCCCCCCCCCCAGAACAACTGTAGGTTGCGATAAATTTAGCCTGCAAAGCTCTCGGGGGTCAGGGAACCATTTCCTACTTACGTTATTCTGCGCCAGCCCAAGAAAAATGAGGCGCCTGATGATTCCCACCCTTCTTATCCTAGGATGAAATCGGAGAGGCAACCGGCCACTCCACTCGGCCCTGCGTGTGCCCCGGCCTCCCGCCCCGGCCCTGGGCTCCCCGCAGGCTCCCCCCCCCCCCCCCCCCGCCGCCCCTTGGAGGCCAGGAAGAGAAGCAGGTGCGCACGGGAGCACCTGGCTGCCCACCTTGGCTTGGGAGCTGCATGCAAAGGCAGTCAGTCCTCCCGCAGGAAACGAAGCCCTCCTGGACGTTCCCCTGGCGGGGGCAGCATTTAAACAAGCAGAGCAAAGCAAAGCAAGACGCTGAGAGCGAGCGAGCCCTGTTCAAGGGAAATTGGCTTTCTCGTGCCCCCTGGGAATGCTGCCCCAGATGGTGGGAAGGAGGAGGATGGATGGAATGCATCTGAGTGGCCATGGGGCAGTACTGCAGAAGCCACTGGAAGCCGGGATTAAGCCCAGGCGCAGAGAAGAGACCAAGCACCTGCATTTCAGCCTGTCAAACGAGAACCAAGCAGCATGGGTGAAAAGGGAAGCTCCGGCTGCCTTGACCCTTCTTCATGGTTTACTCAACAGTCACCTCGTGCAAGAGCTTGCCTTTTTCCCACAGGGTGCTGGGCCGGCCGACAGTCCCGCTGGCCTGGCATTCCTCCTCTGACCAGCAGCAGCTCGGTGGGGTCTCGGGCAGAGCGGGGCAGGAATGTACCCTCCTGGATTGGGCAAAGGCCCACCCTGGCTGGCATCCTGCTTCTCGTGGCGGCCGACCAGTCCGCTGCTCCAGGGGGAGCCTGGAGCAGCGGGGTGCGAGTGCGGCGACCACTCCCCGCTTGTGCCCCCCGGGAGTGGCAGTCCGAGGTCCACCTGCCCCTCTTAAGGGGAGGTGCCGGGGACGGAACTTTGGACGTCACTGTCATGGCAGGCGTCTCCTCCCCGTACAGCGGCACATTTCCCATGACGCCTCGCAAGAGTGTGATGGAACTGCTCCTGGAGACGCTGCGGCAGCGAGGGGGAAGACTGCCCAGGGCCCCTCCGCGTGGGGCCAACACCTGGCCCCTCCAGGTGCAGCAGGCCCTGCTCTCCCCGTGCCGAGGAAGCAGGGCGCTGGGGAGGGGAAGGGGGTGGCTCCCGTGTCACCCACTCTTGGCACATGCTACCCTGCCGCCAGCAGCCGGCCCTGGCGCCCGATGCCGAAAGGGGTGCCATGTGCCTGGGTCAAGCCGGCAGGGCAGACGGGGTCTGAGGTCAGCCATCCAAGCGCCAAGGTTTCTCCTCAAGCAGAGACCCACTTCTTCTGGAGGAGTCCCGGGGCTAAGGGGGAATGCCAGGAGGAGGCTCAAGAGGTGCTGAGGTGTCGAGCTCCGACTCCTGGCTGGGAGGACCTCCAACTGCATCTTCGGACAGAGTAGAGGCAACTCTATGCCTTGTGAGCTTCATGGCCAGGTGAGACGTGAACCCGATTCTGTCTGCATGCCTGAAGGCCGCCCTCCCCAGCCAGAGCTCTCCAGGAGCTCCCCACCTCGGCTTCCATCAGCCTCAGCTAAGCACCCAGCTGGCTGGGGATCCCGGGAGTCGGACAAAGGCATCTGAAGGACACAAGTTTGGGGAAGGCTGTGCTCCTGCCTGTTGTTTGCTGCACAGATGCAAGTTTGCACCAGAAAAAGATAGGCGAGCGGGGAGACCAAAAGCAACCACGGCTCGCTCTCTCCTTCTGCTGAGGGGTTCTGTCATCTCCCCTCGGGGCAAATTATGCCGACTCGCCTTTCTAGAACATCCTGCCAAGCACAGGGCCAAAAGAGGGGCAGGAGGAATCCCGGACTCTCCGTCCTTCTTTGATTCACTGAAGCAAAGATAAATGGGGCAGGGAGGGAGATGCAAGCCGGACACAGAAGAGATCGGCCACGGAGGGGCCAACTCCGAGGGCAGCCACCCGTCTTTGAAAGGGGCGTCAAAACTTGCACAGCTGACCCCTGACACGACCTGTTTATGCCCCCTGCTCCAGCCCTTCTGCCAAGGGACCTGCCCGTGTGGGCATTTTATTCCGCAGTGATCCTGTGAGGAAGGCTGGGCCAAGAGGCTGCTGTTCGCACCAGCCCACCCCAGCGAGCGCCACAGCCGAGGGAACATCCACTGCACCAAACGGGCCCCAATCCCTTCATTACAGACCGGTTGCGAGAGCAGGACTTTTCCGCCAGAGGCGTCTTCGCGCTCTGCAGCCCGCTGGCTTTAATTACACCTGCATCCACTTCCTAAGCCTGGAGCTGAAAGGAGGCGAGTTCGAGTATTTGAATGCGAGGCAGCAACAAAACCCGCATGCAAAGGATGTAGCAAACCCGCCGAAATTCAGCCAGCGCCTGCGTGCGGTCCGGGCCGCCCCGGCTGTGCCCACGTTCCACCTACCCCGGGACAGTTCTGCGGAGTGCGGCCGGCACCGGGGTTGTTACCAAGGGATCCCTCCCGTGGCAACAGCCACCAGTTCAAGCGGAGTCCAAAAAGAGGCTCCAGCGATACCCACTGGCAAGCAGCGTGGGCGCGGCGCCAGGGGCAGCACGCGGCCAGGCGGCGGGGCATCGCGCCCTCTCGGGGCAGCCCCGCTCGCTCGGGCCGGCAGCCCGCACTGCGCGCGGGGCGGGAGGGGGACAGGCGCCTGCCCCCCCGGGGCCCCCCGCCCGGCACTCACCCTTGTTCGCGGCGGCCATCTGTCCCGCCAGGCGCTGCTCCGGCCCGCTCAGCGCGCCGCCGCCATTCTCCACGGAGGCGCAGCCTGGAAAACAGAGAGGGCGGTAAGGCACGGCGGGAAGAGCCCGGCCGGCTGCACTTGCCGAGCAGGAGCCAGGGCGCCGCGCCTCGGCGAAGCACCGGGACGAGCGACGCAGCTCAGCCCGCTGGGCGGGCAGCGCCCGGCGGAGGAGTCCGCGGCGCGCTCCCCCTGGGTCCTAAGCGCCGCCGCTTGCAGGGAGGCGGCGGGACTTCTCGGCCGAGGGGGCCCTGCTCCGCTTCCGCCTCGCGCAGCTTCCGTCTGATCCAACGGAGCCCGCACCGCGGCGCTTTCTCCTCCCGGGGCGCACCCCACCCCCCCGCAACACCAGAAGCTGCCCCCACAAAGGAAGCAGCGCTCTCGGGCACGGCGCGGAAGCCCCTCGCTGGCCACGGGGGTGATCCACGCGCAGCGAGGTCAGTTGTCGCTGTGTAGGACTTGGGCCACCTTCTCGCCAAGATGGTCAAGCTATGGGGGGGGCACACAAGGAGCTGCACTGGACCACCACTCCCATAATCCCCAGCCAGCAAAAAGCAATGCAACCGGTACTTGGAGAGATCAACTGCTGCACACAACGTATAGTTGGACTATGGGCTTCGCGGCCACGGGAGGTGGCGGTGGCCGCCAGTCTGGATGGCGTTCAAAGGGGAATGGCCAGCCTCGTGGAGGAGGGGGCTACCTGCTCCTTCAGCAGGGCTGGCGTGGCTGCACACACCAGGCGCCGAGGAGCTGGCCAGGAGGGCTGGCACCTTCCTGCTCGGGGGAGCCTGTGCGCAGCCGGTCGGCCGCCACACGAGTGGAGTGCTGCACTGGGGGGGGGGGGGGGGCTGGTCTGATCCGGCGCAGCTCTTTCGTTCTTAGGATACAGAAGCGGCACAGGCGCCATGGCGAGCAGCCTCGGCGTCCTTGATTGCGTCGGAGTCAGGGAGCCTCCAGGGGGTAAGAGGAGGCGGCACGTGGGAAGGGTGCAGGGAGGGAAACGACCCTCTTCCTGCCGGCCCAGCTGCCTCTCCCTCCTTCCCAGAAGGCTTCCCCACGTGGATGCAGAGCAAGCCGGCGCGCCAGGAAGAAGGAACATTTTGCCTTGTCGGAGTCGCCGGCACTGCAGTCCAGTCATCTGTAGCAGTGCGGCCCCCACACGGGTTGACCCCCGCCAAGGCCTGGGCTCCAAATTCGCAGGATTCTCGGCAAAGGAGGCGATGGGAGGCACTCACAAGCCCTGTGGGGGGGGGGGTTCTCGCTGCTCGTCAGTTGAGACCCTCTCTGTGGCCTTCCTCCAGCCGCTGAGGTTGGACGGGCAGCTGCGGCCTTCCTTGCCGTGGCTGCTGGGCTCCAGGCACCTTTCCGTGGGAGAATCGCCCGGCTGCCCTGCCCTCCCCCAGGCCAAGTCGAAACTGCCCGGTGCTTTCAAATCCTTTATTTCTACAGCTCGACTAACGTGAATCAGCCCTTAAAAGAAGAACGCACCAGCCTCTGCTAACGCATCAAAGGCAGCCTCCCTGTCATGGGCTGCAGCCCAGTATGTAAACAATCCACACATTCTAGAGCAATAAAACCAAAGTCCTTTAATGCTAATTGTCTACAAGATTTACAACTCTACAGATAAGTTCCCTAATAGCGGTCCTTGCTAAGCAGATGTTAACTGTCTAATGGCTTCTCTCCCCGAGCGCACATGGGATCATTCTCCCAAGTCACGCCTTTCCTCCCTCTTATGCCGTCTACTTTGCAGCTGTTCAAATCAGCGTAAAATACGTCTGTTCTGGGCTCTTGAAAAATCCACGAAAGACCTATTGTGTCTTCTGTTTCTGGCTCAGGGAGATCAGCATGGGGGGGGGGGGAGAAGCAGTTTGCTCTGCCTCCTTCGGAGTAGAACTTGCAGCTTCCCCTTTCTCGTGACTCTCTGTCTCTGATAAAGGTCCAGGCGTTTGCTCAACGTGCTGGGGCTCAGAGGAAGACGCAGCAGCTGGCTCGGCCGTCCCTGCTCTGGGTTGCGGGGTCGACTCTTGGGCACTGGGTGTCAAGTGCAAGGTCTCCTCATGAGTCACTGTTTCTGTCGGGGCTTCATGCACGACACTCCCGCAAAGGCTACCGTCCCCACCTGCCCCAGCCTGGAGGTGCCAGACTGGGGAAGGCAGCTGCCCCATAAGAATAAGCGGGGGGCTTCCGTGCCCCTGGAGCTGGGGCTCCCCCTCCACCAGTCCTCGTCCTCAGGCAGCAATCCGATGCCACCAACATTCATGCCGGCGCCCCCGCCTCTTGCAAGTGCACCTTTGCTACGTCTGACGTTTCGCGTCTGGGGGCAAGTGTGGGGTCGCTTTACTTCTCGGCAAGTCTCCACTACCACTGTGACAGCAGCTCTCCCTCCGGGGACATCCGACCTGTCATGGCAGAGGGAGCCACCGACAGAACGAGCGGGGTGAAGACCCCGGCCGGAGCCCTGCGAGAGCGTCCGGCCGTCTGCACGCGATCCGGCGCGGCTGCCGCTGGGGAAAGCTCCATGCCGTCGCGTGTGGTATTCCGACCAAGCAGCGCGTCCTCTTCGCAAGACGGAGCCCCGGTTTGCTCACGGCGGGCCTCGCTGCTCCGATGTCTGTCTCTCCCCCTCGAAGCCCCCTAAACAGGCGGGGGGTGGGCAGCGGGAGAGAGAACACCACAAGGCTGGCCGATAGGTTGCTTGCTCTCTTCGCAGCTTCCCCAGCTGAAGCCGCCCGTTCTGCTCCCACGCACAGGCGAATCGCGGGCACGTCCAGAGGCCGGCCGCGCTAGCCCACTGCAGCAAAAGCGAGCCGCCTCCTGGCAGCTGGCACGGCCCACGTCTCCCCGGCTGACCCTGTCGTGGCTCGGGCGGCCTCCCCCACCTGCTCGCCTTGCAAAGCTCGGGGGCGCTGCCCACGCAGGCCCAGGGGGACCCTTGGCCTGGTCCGGCGGGGCTGTTCTTCTGTTCCTAGGAACTGCAGCACGTCCCCCGGACGACCCTCCCGTCTCGCTGGAGGGGCCCGAACCCCGAGACAGAGGAAACCAGGGGCCACCTCCGCCAGGAGAGGTGGCAGAGCTTGGGCCCCCCTGGGAGAAGACCGTGGCTCTCCCCCTCCGCAGGGGGGCCATTCTGCTCCCGGGGGAGAGGCTGAGCACCCAGTCCCAGAGACCACCATGCCTAAGAGGCGGAGCAGCAGGGCCCTTTCAGGCAAAGTTCCTGACCCTCGCCCGCAACACCCAAGAGTAAGGGATTGAAAAAGAGGCAGCTGAATTGTGGGTGCGGCCCAAGAAATATTCTGCCTGGACACAGCCGAAAGCAACAGCCATTCTCCGCTCCGGCGTTCTGTATCCTGACCGGATGGAGCTCCTGCCCGGACCTTCAGGCATCGCGCTTGGACTTCTGCCTCCACGAGGCTGCGCGGGATCCTCCTCCGCCTTGGCTGCATCCCCGAGCTGCCTCTTGACAGCCCTCGCTTGCCATAAGGCCCGCTCTGCCCTTGGCCTCCTCAGCACCACCCGAGCCGCAATTAACTCGCGCGTGCGCCTCTGTGTGCGTCTGAACGGCAACTGGCTGAACAGGATGCTGAGAATCGCAGCTGTCATTCCCAGCTCCCCCTGCGCGTTTCCAGACTTCAGGCACCATGAAAAAGAAAAGCAGGCAGGCTGCGGACGGGAGGAATCCTGGCACCGAGCAAACTGAACTGGGGCAGCTGTGTCCGGCAGCGAAAGTGCAAATCCAGCACCGTTGGGCAATGCATCCCAGGCAGTGAACAGCGGAACAGGCAGCCCAGGGCGGTCAGAACCGGCTGGCAGCTCCCCAGGGGACACGGCGGAGCTCTGCTGGATTGGACCAAGGTGGGTCGAGCCCGAGGCCAGCATGTGGTTCCCCCACCTGCACCCCGAAAGCTACAAGCGGGTTCCCTTCGGGCCGTCCTCAGGGAGGCGGCCCTTTCCGCCTGCAGCAACCACAACGCTTGCAGCACCTTCAGAACCGGCACGGAGGTCACGGCAGAAGCTTCCCTTCGGCAATGTAGAAACAGAAACAGAGCGAGCCAGAAGGAGCCACCCGGGCCATCTAGTCTACCCCCAGCTCCAGCCAGCTCTGCTCACAACATGCTCGCCATGTGCATGTCCAGCCTGTCCTTGAACACCCACACCGATGGGGCCTCAGCCACCTCCCTCGGGGTCCTAACTGTCAGGAAGTGCTTCCTGGCATCCAAATTGAACCTTGGTTCCCTGAGCTTTGCTCCCTTGGAGCGCGTCCTGCCTTCCTCTGCAGGGGAGAACAGGTCTCCCCCCACCTCCGTGTGACACCCCCTCACACACCTGTATGTCGCCAACATATCTCCCCTGAGTCTCCTCTTCTCCAGGCTGAAGAGACCCAGTTCCCTCAGTCTCGCCTCATACGGCTTCCCCTGCAAACCGGCCACCAACCTTGTGTCCCTTTGCTGCACTGATTCCAACCTGGCCATATCCTTCCTGTAACGAGGGGCCCAAAACTCAGCACAATACTCCAGTTGCGGGCGCACCAGAGTCGTGTAGAGTGGCAGTAATACCTCTCTCGATCTAGAAGCCACACTTCTGGCTATGCAACCAAGGGTGGCGTTCGCCCTCTTGACCACCGCATCACACGGCTGGCTCATGTTCAGCCTGCAGTCGACCAGCACTCCGAGGTCCCTTTCACAAGTGCGGCTCTCCAGCCACTTGTCCCCTAACCTGTACTTATGACACCTATTCCTATGCCCCAAGTGCAAGACCTGGCACTTATCCACACTGAACGCCACCCTGTTGTCTCCTGCCCACTTCCACAGTCTGTCCAGATCCTTTTGGATCTGGAGTACCTGCTCCTCAGTTGTGGCCACTGCTCCAGTTTTAGTGTCGTCTGTGAATCTGATCAGAAGATTGGTCACCGCCTCTGCCAGGTCACTGAAGAAAAGACTGAACAGGACAGAGACCGGGGGGGGGGGGGGCAGAGCCCTGGGGGACTCCACCCACTGAAATGGGGTCTTTTCCCCGGCCGAAATGCCACAAGCCCAGCTTGCTCCAACCTGAGGGAAGAGGCAAGAGGGAGGGGGGATTGGCCATGGCGGCCAGTTGGCCTAGATACCAAAGAACTACAATGGGC